TTTGAGAAAACTATATGTATATATAAGTCAAGGGTACCTTAACTATAGTAGCACTCGGGTACATAATTTCAAAACATGTGTGGGTATATAGAAAATGCTATTCTCTACTCATGTTCATCGAATTATATTCTATCTGAGTGCAGCACATGACGATTCCGAAACCATGTTTTATTTGTGCCGTTCATGAATTTCTGGAGGAGTCCTGATATTGTTGTTGATGCTGCTGCTGCTGCGACTACAACTACTACTACTACTTATACGACTACTACTACTACTACTGCTACTACTACTACTACTACTACTGTCATGAATACTACTACTACTACTACTACTACTACTGTGACTACAACTACAGGTGTACTACTACTTCTACTACTACTGTACTACTATTACTGCTGCTACTACGACTATTATACTACAACTACCGCTGGTCATGCTACTACGACGACGACTACTACTACTACTACTATTACTGCTACTACTACTTCTACTACTACTGCCACCACTACTACCACTATGTTTGCAGCACATGTGATTCCAGAACCATTTTTCATTTGTATTGTTCATGGATTTCTAGAGGAGTCCAAATATTGTTGCTGCAAAATTCAGTTTTTCTGTGTACAACAAAAAACACAAAGTATGTATTTTTTTATTTTTTTTATTTTTTTATTTTTTTTTGGGGGGGGGGGGGGGAATCTTTGCAGAAGTGTGTCTTAAATGACATCTTCTTTCACAATATGATACAATTTAAGTGAAGTTTTGCCATCACATTTTTTGTGAATTTGGGGCTCCCTAAGTATAAAGTCTTGTAACAAATCTTTTATTTTCTGTAACTAAAAGCACTCATATTAACTATCAAATGATTATGTGTTTTTTTCTGTTATTGTTACATCCTTGAGGTTACTTCGTAGTCTATGAACATATCAAAAAGTGGAACTAGATCAATCTTAGTACATCGAATATTATTTATGTTCTTCCTAAATCTATCTGACTTGTTTCATCATTCTTTTAACTTTTACTTCCCTAGATGAAATTTTGTATTATTTTATGTTTCTTGCCATATATTGTATTTATTGTTTTAGAGATGCTGCCTACATATATGTATGTCATGTACAGGCTTACGCTGAATAGAAATAAATGATATTTTGAATTCGAATGTATCATTCAACAATGTTTAATTTCAAGTCTATGTCTCCATTGATGTAAAACAACGGCTTATAAACTCCCTGGGTTAAAACATCTCCGCACCCCTTTGCAATATCGCCGCCACCCCCGCCGAAATTAAACTAAAGCTATGTAACACTATGTCCTTTGAAAGTAATGCCTTTTGATTTTGAATTTGGGTATAAATTTGTTCTCCGAACTTTCCGCAATACGCTTCTGGCTTTACGTGCTGCAAGAAATAATAATGAAAATCTAGTGAGCAGGAAAAAATGAAAGATGCAGTAGTGCTTTATCATGAATCTGTTTGATAAGGAGAAATGTTCTTTTAGTTGTATGAATTTAAAAAGATTCTGAAGAAGAAAAATCGGGCGGCCTTCTCACGTGTTCAAAGGAGGTTGGGAAGAATTAAACCACCTCTGCCTACGCTTTTCTGCAGACAAACAAATTGGATATACCCGTAGGAAATAATTACAAGACAAGCAATCTTGCGGTCTTGACCTTTCACCAACAACAGCAACAGAAAGCGAAATAACGTTTATAAAATTATACATGTGTGTATATTGTGTATGATATGACAAATACTGAGAAATATATGCTGGGAAATGATCTTTTGCACTTCACACCATCCTTGTATTGTGATTTTGTTTTGTGTTTTTTGGGTTGTGTCGTGGGCGGGTGGTGAGCAGGTCGAGTTAGTTTTACCATCTGTAGCATGTCCCTGGTTGACACATTGTCTCGTGCGATCTCGGCATCTCTCCATCTCTCTGTTTATCTATTGCTTTGGTTCGTAAACCAAAAGAAGCATAATGAGATAGAAAGAGAGACCCGTGTAGAGAATGAATGTAACAACAACTGAATATGAATATAAAATGGCATAGAAGCAAAGCAGAAAGTACTGAGAGTGACAGGGAACAAGCTCATACCCCTGTCATATCCTCAGTACTTTCATGTTTATTTTTTGTGATCCTTGTTAAACACAAATACATTATCCGATTAATTTGAATTTCTTTTAATTTAGCTTCAAATTGTTACAACACATCTCCCAAAAAGCATTTAGAAACGAAGTACATCTCTATCAGATTGGAATACCATAAGTCTAATTTATGCACGTTTTTTAAAGATGATTATAATTATAAGCATGGGTGTTCACTTGTATATCCAATCATGCCCATGATGCAAGTGATAACCGCTAAGTGAATGTCATATCCATGGTAACATCCGCAAATAGATTCATCAGCAATATCATGAAGGAATAAAGTAATACTAATGTACTAAAACATCTCAGCAATCTCACGAGATCTACCAGATAAACGGCTTTAAAATACGACCTCAATGTGCATCATTTTCTTTTACGATTTTGTTTCAGGATATAAAGTAAAAACAGATTAATTTAGGCCTATCATTGTATCAGTTAAAATGATTCCTCCAACCACCCAGTGTCTCTCTTTCCCTCTCTCTCTCTCTCTCTCTCTCTCATACTATCTATCTCTCACGTCCACATTCTGTTTATTTTTGTTCTTTCTAGTTACATCTCTATGTTCTTTTCTCCCATTAACCTTCTTTTACATCGTCTTTCTCTCCTCCCCCACTCTCTCTCTTTTCTTTCTTTCTTTCTCTCCCTCTTCCTTCCTTTCTTTCTCTCTTTTTTTGAACTTTCTTACTCGATCTCTTGTACGCACACAAACGCCCACACAGACACCCTCGCCCACCGAAGTACCCTAGACTCGCTCCTTACACACCCCTTCTCTTTCAATCTCTTTTTGTCTTTCTCCCTGATTACTATTTAGCTACTCTTTCGTGTCACTCTTTCTTATTCTCTTATCTCGCTCTAGATTATTTATAGCTTACTTTTTATCATTTATTGGAGTTTCTTTCATATTAAAGCCCAATATTAAAATACCACGATATTTCTTTCCTTCTCATGCATAACTGTACTTTCCCTCCGTATCTGAAGGAAGAGTCATGTTTTATTAATTGAATAAGTCGTGTTAAAATTTCAAGTACCCTGGTATCATTCAATGCAGTTTATTTTTCAAAACGTTTATTTACAATTACAATTAAAAGTGTTGAAAGTATTCCTGATAATGATCATTCAATAGAAATTATAATGAACTGGAAGAGAAAGAAGGGAGCGATTCTACAATAGAATAATAAAGGAGATAACAGACTCACATTATGCAACATTTCGAGGCATTAAGTAGTAAGGTCTGAGCAGGAATTTGTCTAACTTTATGTCTCCCGAATAATAATAATAATAATAATAATGGTGGCTTCTTATATAGCGCACATGTCCGTCACGTTGTGACGCTCCTGGCGCTGCCCCGAAAAATTGAAAAATTGATGGATTTGTAATGACAATCTATACACATGTATCGCCAATTCCATCGAATGTTCATTTATAGATGTATTCGTTACGTTTTCGGAAAACTGAAATCTGACCATGCTGATCGTTACACGATTCGGAGAAACCCATATAGGCTACTGTGAGGGCAAAGGATTCAATGTGTGACGTCGGTCATATTCTGTATATTCAGTTGAGCGCCACGGGCGTTCCTACTTTCCTAGAATTAATACCACTATTTTTAATAACTGAAAGAAAGATATATTTTACAATGATCAAGCTTACCGAGGAGGAGTTTGATTTCTAATGGACATCATTCGACCTCGACCGGTTGGATTAGCTGATGATAAAAGTGATCAGATATGTCTTCAACAAACAAACCCTGCAGTTACCAAGAAATAGCTTTCTGTATGTGGGTCACATCATCATAAATACTCTGTACATTTACTTGTCTTTTCACGCATCCAATATCAACATTTACAATTTGTGCGATGAACTCTCCAAGAATTTATACATAATAGCTTTTTATCGTCAATTGGGGTAAGTTTGTATAAAATCTAACTAATAGTTTGATATTAATTACTCGGTTTGTTAATAGGAAGGAGGGCATAAAATGTCCTTGACTTTAGATTTTTGAAGGTTCCTTCAATGACAGATAAACATTTTTCAATGTGAGTATATACGGCGTTCTTCTCACTGTTAGAAAACAGTACAAACTGCATGTTATGTTGTTGCCAATTTATTCACATGTATAAGTTTTGAACAGGTGTGAAGGGTGATATCTGATATCATATTAAAACAAAATCAGATGTACAAATTCCCATACACAAATAACGAGTTCTTCAACCTCCATCCATGAGTCAAACACTATAAAGAACAGGCTGACATAAAATTCGATTGCATCCGGGAATCGTATATCTCTGCCAAAATTAAAGCAATAGCCGCTGGAGTACATGTCAGGTCTCCGAGGAAAATGCAGTGTTTTGATTTGATTTTGAATTTATTTCCGTATAAAAAGTACAATAATAGAAACATTACACAGTATGTACCATACTATAGGAGATAAACGGCTGGATGGCCCTACTCAGTATCCTCCAACATGAAAGGTGGCGCTGTTCCACCGAGGGGTCCAGAAGAAAGTCACTTTACACAAACGAATAATCAAACAAAGATACATAAATTATACTACAATTCAATTCAAAATACAAAAAGTAACACCTTAAGTACATCCTTAAAATGTATAAAAGCGACACCCTAAAATTACACACTAAAAGCAACACCTTATAGTAGAAGCATCGGCAAATAAAAAAAAAATGATCGGGTTTATATAAAACTTGGAATTAATTAATTAAAGAATGTACGGAATGCAGCTATATCAGGTGAGGAAGATAAATGATGTGGAATTGTGTTATTAAAGAGAGCATGCTCCTTGGTAAGTAAACATTCTTTGACAGTATTCAGATTTTGGTTTTGGGAGGGCTAGGTTTCCAGTCGAGCGAAGGCAATAATGTTGAACTGCTGCAGAAGGGGAGGGGGAGTCGTGTAGAAAAAGGCGCCTATAATGACTAGGAACTGGACCAACTAGATTGTTGCAGAGGGGTCTGCCGTCGTGTAACCAATCAACATATAGAGGCAAGCGCCGATGATGATCAGGAACTGGACCAGTCCAAAGACCTTATCGAGGACCAGGGCCGTCTCGCGCCACATCATGGCGTTCTTCTCGTAGGTGGTCTCCGGCGTCCCCCGGGCCAGAAAGTCCTGTGGAGAATGGTTCTTTGCAACTGTCTCTGTCGTCGCCTTGCCGTTAAGATGAGGTGCGTTAAGTGTTGGATCATGAGAAAGCTTGGTAGTGGGGTTATTCCTTAATGAATTCCTTAATGAACTTGAATGAGAAAAACAAAAAAAGAGAAATCTTAGAAAAACATAAAAATGCAAGTGATATAGGTTGAATGTGATATTATTATGTGAAGAGAATTATAATTATGTTACTTTAAGTCGTGTGGGGGTGACTGCGAAAGTCACGAGAGGATGAGATGGAAAATAAGGGAGAAACAGAGAGACATAGACTGAGGCAGAAAGAGAGATAGAGAGAGAGAGAGAGATAGAGAGAGATTGAAGGGTTGATGATTACGATGTTTAAGTACGCTAGTAATAAATGATTTACATTGATATTTTCTTAATGTATTTCAATGATTAAAAAAAAGTATTTCAATGATTAAAAAAAAGTATTCAAAAAGCAATAATCAGTGTAGCCTACTTCACGTTGTCCAAATAGAATTAGAACAACAAACGGCCTCACCCTCAATAGAGATTAAGATTTAAAAATCGGACCAAATTAAATGGCAGCTCGTCATGTAACAAGTAATCGTGATTATACTAATATCTCTGGTCTTGATCTGATGAAAAATCTGTCTTAGCAAACAATTGAGGATCGACGTGATTATTTTCTATCTACACTAATGTACCAATGTGTCCACGGTCTTGCACCATCCCGTTTATGCAATGAGATTGAAATGTATTTCGACAGACATGGACTGAATACACGTAATGCCAATTCCCTTAATGTTGTGCCGCCTAAACCAAACATTCAACTCTATTGTCAGTATTTAAAATATTCCGGTGCTAAAGTATGGAATCTCTTACCAAATAATTTTCAAAATGCTCAGTCTCTGGATGTTTTCAAATTATTGTACAAAAAAATCAAAATCGAATCCATTGTAATGACCCCAACCCCTAAGCTGAAACCTTGCTTTTGCATATAACTATGACTATATTTTTGTTCTTTTAACTTCTACTTGATATTGTTATATGTAGCCATCATTCATATTTATAATCATTTTTGTTATGGACCTGAATTGTTATGTTACCATATTTTGTATTACTTTGTATTTATTTTGTATTTTACTTTGTTATACTTGAATTCTGAATACTGAATTCTCATTGTTACTACTTTTTATACTATGCTTTTAATACCAGGTCCAATATGTAAAACAGATTTATTTCTGATCTTGTGTACCTGTATAAATATGTATGAATAAATAAATAAATAAATAAATAAAATAAATGATTTGGAAAATGACGTGTAGGGATAATTTTATTGGAGGGGGCATGGTGTTATAACGATGAAAGCTCTTGACTCTCACAAGAGTGCTCCCGGGTGCGATGGTGGTGGTAGAGGGAGGGTAACCCTCACACACACCCACACCAATCCTCCATAGAGCAACACCGTCGTGATACTCACATCTGACTGATGAAGGCGACTTTTGGTGCTTCTGAAAACATGGCTTTCAGTGCGGTTTGCAATCTCTCTCGGCCGAAGATCATCGTGCAGCCGGCACAGCGGTAAATGATGTAGCAGACCCAACGAGGTAGGGGCTTGTCTCCGCCGTGGTGGAAGATCCGGAGAACGGTCACGGAAGAGATAACGGACGCGCATCCGAGTGCGATCATGATGAAGAAGAATGTGACTAGAAGAAGAAGAAGAGTAAAAGATCGTTTCGAAATAGTTGGGATTGTCATTGTCATTATCATTTTTAAAAATCATGCAGTATGTCGTCTTGGAAGTATGTTTAGCATGAATCTGCTGGTGGTGTCGAGTAGGTCATGACATTAATGGAGGCACTGGTCCTACTCATAGGAAAAAATGCGAATTGGCAAGGCCATTGATTAGGGGGTTTCGGAGGACGTCTTCTTTTCAATTCCTTCCTTTCCCTCTAGCTTCTCTCTCTCTCTCTCTCTCTCCCCTCTCTCTCTCTTTTACAGTTCCTCTTACTTAGCAAACTGAATAGGGTACATGCCAAAGTGCGGTGCCCCCTCCTCTGAGCTACGCCAATGAAACCATTATGCTTTTATCAGATAAAATGGATGAATACATTTTTGCTTTAATTAGTTTTCGTTATGCTTAAGACAAGTTTTCAATTGGTTGACAGTTTGACAATTTTTGACATGTACAGGTAGTTTATATTATATTATAATAGATGTAAATGATTGAGGGGCGCGAATAATCAATAGCCATTCAGATGAGATTTGAAAAAATAGCTTCACCAAAAAATATATATTATGCGATAGGTTTTAATTCTAGCTACCGAATCTTCCTTTGGTGCAAATAGAAAGGAGGAAAAATGAGTGATGATGCTTAGGAGATCACGTATCACTTTCCATTGCACACTTGAGAACAGCTAGTCGGACATAAATCAAGCCAATGCATTTACAAACTTTCACTTTGTACGCTAGTAACGTGTTTTGAAATTACAATTAATAGTCTTGATACTATCTTAATAAAGTTAGTTTGGTATTTTTTACATGTTTATGAATATATTTTGGGTATGATATACATATACAATAGAACATGGTAGCTAAATACCCTAACAAAATATTATTGTGATTATCTTTTCACTTCTCTATCTCCCTCCCTCTCAATATCTCATTCCGACGTATTTCTGTAATCCTCCCTCCCCCTCTGTTTCTCCCATCCCTTCTTTCCTTAAATTTTACAGTCTTAACTGACTACCGGTAAACCTTAATCTGTTAATTGAAAGGAGATTCGTGGAGCACGCTAGAGCCTCGGCCACCTGAGCCCATTCAGACTTGATATTTTAAACCGCTTTACAAAAGTGCTTACTCAAAATAAAATGAGTTTAGCGGAAAGCGATTCACATAATTATTAATACAGATCAGTGGGTACGCGTAGGGGTTATCGTTGCCCGCTGTTCTGTGCTTGTTTCTTCGTTCGCCAGTTAGTTCTTTTTTTTTCTTCTTTAGCTCTAAAATTAAAAGTTGCGTATTGCAATACACTTGCACGTTCTATTTTGACGCGCCGTAGTTTTTTCTTTCTTAAGCAATTTACCGTTTCATATCTGAACAAGGCTTATATCTCAGTCACATCGATGAGACCGGTGCCAGATCACAAACAACCGATCAAGAATGACATTATGACAAATGACCAAGAATCGGTCGGTTTGAAGTCGGTTCAGCGGTGTGACAGAGGTATTAACGGTAAATGAATCAGGTGTACCTATGATGGATGTATTATCTCCAATAGGAGGCATGCTATCCGCTACCAGCTGCTGGAAGAGGATGAGGGCCAGGAGATTGCTCACGGCCAACGTCATCTTCTCCCCGGACGCTGGATGGAGCCAGGAGACCGTCGCCATGAGTACGGTCAGGAATACGGCGGGGAGGATGATGGTCTCACGGAAGAACTTCGACTCTCTCTGGAGTCGAATGGTGTAGATGACGTGGGACCAGGGGTACGGACAGCAGAGGTAGGAGAGGCTGACGTTGTAGGCGGTGAAGGAGGAAGGGTGCCAGATGCCGTTGCGCTCGTAGATGTTTTGGCTAGCGTCGACCCCATCTGGGAAACGTAACATCATCTGCAGAAAATAAAAATATTTTAACACGTTGTTTTATCAAGATAAGTATTATTGGTAAATGAAATTCCTTTAAGCGCAGTTGAAGTCCAGCTTTGGAGAAAAACGAAAGGTAAAGAAAGTACAGAAAGTTAAAGGCTTAAATTCTATGCTAATGCTGCTTGGTACAGTAGTCTGGGCAAGATGGATAAGAAAAAGTTAAGAATAATTCAGAATAAGATGGTAAGATTTATTAATTGCTTAGGCCCAAGAACACACGTCGGGAAAAATGAACTTGAAGAAGCAGGTATACTCCATGTAGGTCAAAGGTCTAAACAACTCGTGTTACACCATGTCCATAAAATATACTACTCAGATGTAGATCATTATATTACTAATAATTTTACTCGTGTCTCAAATATCCATGGATACGATACAAGAAATAGTCATTTTAATTTTGTTTTACCCAAGCGAAAAGGACAAATTGGAAACTCTTTTTATTTTAATGGTATCCAATTTTGGAATTCTCTCCCAAAACATGTCAAAATAGTTAAGAATTTTTCACACTTTAAAAGTGTATTAAAACAATACCTAAAGCATGAATCCCTTCAAGAACAGTAATATCACAGTTCATTATGTGAAGCGCATGTTTTTAAGTTTAATCTTGCATAATATACCGTAGATCATTGTTTGCTATAAGTTCTAGAAATTTTTGTTGTTGTTTATGTTATATTATTTATTCGTAATATTCGTAGTAGTTATTAGTTGTGATATTTTATTCTCATGCCGTACTGTACACGTACTTTATAGGACCCCATTGGAAATAAGCCTTTTCCGGCTTTCATGGGTTATCCTGTCAATGTATCTTCTCGTTCCATTTGCTTTATGTATGCATTCAATGTACTATACTTGACGAATAAAATCAATCAATCAATCAATCAATCAAATTAATTGAAACGGTGAACAGCCTTCTCTGACGGTATTTTATTTTTGTTACCGGTATCGTGTACCTAGAACTTGTTTTCCTTTTCTGTATTTGGTGATATATTTGTTGTGCTTTGTAGGTCTTGTGACCTCTCGGTCTCGTAGGCCGTTGATGTCTTGGGTAGTCGGTCTTATGAGCTCTCGGTCTACTAAAATTACCCCCGAGATAAGAAATTTGCCTTTAAGTAACACTCATCTGTATTCCTCCTCTGTCATCCTGCACTATTGACGTACTCAAACAGCACCACCACCATCTACGATGTCTAATTAATTAATCTTATCTTACCGAGAGGTGAATAAAAAAGTGAATGCATAGACCCTGTGTACAATTTATGGCGTATGCACTCATTTATTAGCGTAGGTAATGGTGGAATCGAAATGTGATAGAGGATTTTTATGATCCGGACCTCAGTCACAATGCCGAACCGACTCCACATCAATTCCAAATCAGACTGATTTTTGGCGATTGGGGTAATTCAAATCTCTGTTCCGTCTTTTGTCGGTATGGTGTCAGTCTTGTTTGTGTGGCTGAGGTATAAGTCTATTCCAGCACTCACCATACTTTCATCCATAGACCACGGAAGGAATGTCAGTGTGCACTCCTGGATGTCGAAGGGAAAGAAACGGACATCGACCTTGCATGTCGTGGTGATGACGGCCGGGAAGAACCAGTTGACGGTTCCGTCCGGTGTTGCCGTTATATAGGTATCCGGAAAACTGATGAAATCGCGATCGACACTGCTTGGAAAGATGGGAGTATAAAAGGAGGAAGAAGTGTCATGATAGGGGGTAAAACGGGCTAAAACAGAAATACGAAGTTGTAAACCATCAAATCGAGAGACTCCTAATAAATTGCGATATTAGTTAATTAATTAGATTATTACAATGGTTATTTTTAGTTTTCTTTATTGATAATTTAAATTCCTTATATAACTGAAGATAAGGCGTATACAAATTCAATAATGAATGGACACCAGAAACAACTACAGTGTACCAACAACAAAAACAACAACAACAACATGATAGAAAAAAAAGACCTAAAACAAACGGCAAGATTATTTGTGATGTAAAGTTCACGTTTTAAAAAAGTGTTTGATATTCTTTGCAAACTTGAGTCATGGAAATTATTTTGTTTGGAATATTTGATACCACATTCATGAAGAAATAGATCATTACACAACTGTGTAAGGATCAGTGGCGTAGAGTGGGCACATACTAGGAGGGGGCACAGCCTAGGAGGGGCACATACATCATTAGAGGGCGCCATCTTCCTTGGCAGATGAAATGCAATTTCAAGAAGTAATTAATACGGGGGTGTAGCGTTCCTTTCTCATTCCCTGTCGCCTCTACAATTATAATTTCCCCTTTTCTTTCTTGCCATTAGATTGGAGGAAGGGGGCACGCCTACACTTGGCGCCTGAAGTTACACACATTGATCTGATTCAACTCAATACCCAACAAGTAACCACGAATATTGCATATAGGAAACTTTTCATTCGGGGGGAGGGGGACGTTGACGTTTTCATTTTTTTTTAAATCAATGTAACAAAATAATGAAAGTTTGTCACCGTCCACAAGAGCTTCTTGATTTTCTTACTTTTCATCCAAGGTTAGTTCTGGAAGCCATATGTCTTTGGGAATAATCATAATAGTCCTATCATACTCAGCAGGATCCCATTGTAGATACTCATCTACCCACATCTGCAAAGACGAAAAAGAAAAAGAAATTGAGAAGGAGAATTCGAAAAAATTATATAAATTTTGATAACAAGAGGTTAAAACAAAAACAAACTAGTAATTTTCAGTTCGTCACGTAGTTGAAAAGCACAGGTTAAATATCTTAAAACAAAAGCAACGAAATATCTTTACTGTCTCAAACGACTTAGACCGTAATATATTACATTGAATATTGCTGTAATACATTATAAAGCATTCTTCCTACCCCATCTCGATTACAGCTCTATTGTTTATGATTTAATGCAGGAAAAACTTAAGTTCATGAGTTGTTTGTTCTACAAAATCGGGCACTTCGCGTTATTTTTTTAGTCGATCCTAGGCACGGTACTGTTTTATTGTATTATTATTATTATTATTTTTATTATTATTTTTATTTTGCAGAAAACACATGATATAAAAATACAGAATTGAAAATACACAATTAATAGCAAATCACACACAAAAAAGGAACACTGGGTGCACCCGGCTGTGCTGCCAGGCCTTGGGGAAAGTTAACCAAATAACTATAGTCCGCAGACCGCCCTCACCTATATCCCAACCAGATGCAACCAGTGTTGTAGATTTATGTGACAAGGACAATATAAGAGATACATGTACCACATTCAAATAATTAAAATGCATCAAGACAAAGCCTTCACATTTCCCCAGGGTAATTGCATCACACGCCGGAGATTCAAGACCACACCAGCAAAAAAAATTTGTATCCGGAGTGTGATTCAACCATAGAAAAGCATATAGTCGACCTATACATGTATTAAACATAATACATATATTTAAAAACATGCAAAAATGTGACATTACAACAGTGATAATATTGCACAGAGAAAGTAAATGCATATATACGTGTAATTAAAGGAAAATTGCATGAAAGTTGAAAGAACCAACTCAGTCGAGGTTAAAATCACTGAATAGTGAATATACATGTAGAAACATAAGGTGATAAAGGTCATTCAATAATCTATTATTCTATTGCCCAAGTGAATAGTAAATTATTAAGTTCAGTTGAAATCTATGGAAAATATGTGTTAACAATATATGAGTAAAAACTGCTGAGGCATGCTGGCAGGCCAGCTTATTATAATATACATGTATAACTACAAAACATTCTTCTAATAATTATTTTGCACTGCTAAGCTAAATATCTGAGATTTCATAACAGTATTGGAAATTGAAAGTAATGACTCAACTGAGAGTGAACATTCAAATTTAATGGTGCCTTTATAATTACATTTTGCGTTACCCCTACAGAAATATTAATGTATATATAGATAAATACGATTAACTAGAATTAATAGATAATTAAATTCAGATAAAATTAAAAAATTCTTCTCTAAAATTAATATTGATGAGCTACAAATACGTTGGGGAAAAATGCAGCCTCTTTCATTTTTAAAATGTTGCTTGGATGCCTTCCATTTTCACTCCGTTCTAAGTCTCTGCGATTACGTTTGGATCACAATTTCTCCATTAAGGCATAAATTCAAATTAAATACCAGCATTAAGCCGCATGGATGAAATGACTTCGCTAACATAAGCTAGTTCGGGGGAAAAGTAAACGATATAATATGAACATTTTAAAGCGTGGCGTGGGCTTTATATATAAGCTTCGGATGAAAAATAGACATGCAAAGATTTTACACCCTCTGAAAATATCCTCACTATCTTTTTAGCAAATTGGTTTCTCGGTATGAATAATCCAAGATAAAAAATATTCACGTCCCATACGCTACAACAAAGATTACCAGAATGAAGAAGAAAAAAATGGATAAGAAAACAAGTCTAAATCGAAGACAGAATTGGAATGCTGATATGCTGATTATATTTGTTAATTCCGGTTTACAAATCCTTTAAACTCCTTTAAGTAAAGGGCCTATATTTTGCATTTCTAATTATTGTTTAAAGACCTGTCATGTATTTCTGTATCAACAGATTATCCTTAGATGACAATATATACAAATAATATAACTTACCAATCTGACGTAGACTACGAGTGTGATGACTTGATTAGTTTCGTCCTGGGATTAAATGAGATAACTATATTCGTTGAACATAAGGGTAAAAATAGTTGATGAAATAGTGGGAGAGAGGGAAGAGAGAGAGAGAGAGAGAGAGGGGTGAGAGAGAGATAGACAGAACTATACGGAGGTAGAGAGTGAAATACAGACACACATACACACGGACGGAGAAGGGAAGGCAATCAGAGAGATAAGCATGTTGACTCGGGTAAAGAGAACGAAAATGATGAAGAAAAGAGCAACTTTAATATAAAAATCATATCATAAAATATTCATACTCATAAAATATGTAGACTCTCTTTTTAATAGACACATTTAGACACGCTTAAGCCCCGTTCTTCGCTATAATTACCTTTTAGCAATTAGGCTTAGATAACACGATCGCGACTACTTTCGAAAATTAAACCTAATTAGGCAATTTTAATTGACTTATAGGTCAACACCCTTTATGGCCCTAAAGATATATTAAGAGGAATCCAATTAACCCTTGAGAGCAAACTACGCTGGAAGAAACCAGATTAATCAGAGAAACATACTGGTGAAAGTTTGAATAAAATCAGACAGAAAATTGGAAAGCTATGAAGTTTGAAAAGTTTCAGTCACTACAAGTATGGGCTCTTCAAATTGGCTGAATCCTTTTTCCCCTTTTGTTCCAACACACAATCTAACTAAAATTTCATTTGTTTACAAACGTATGATTCGGATGGTCCTTTCTTTTTAGAGGACCCGTAATAATATACTCTCCATAATATTTGTTGAGTAGTGCCCCAAGGGTGAAGGCACTAGGGTGAAAAAAGAAAGAAAATAAATGACATTTTTGTACAAAACATTAGGGCGAGTTATCCATCACTACGTCACAATCCACTGACAAAATTGCCATTTTGAGAATCGCATAGCTGTAGTGATCTCATATTTCAAGCATTCATAACTGTCTTAATATTGGTCGGATCTATTTCAAACTAATGCCATTCTTCTTCTCTAATTTGTCTGCTTTCATTCGAATGAACTTATTACAATGGCTGTATTGTCCTTAAAGATAAACTCCAGTACTGGTAAAAAAAAAAATTAATTCTCACAGAATCAAACGAAACTTACACTGAATGTTCAAGATTACAAATAAATGACATGTGCCAAACAATTTTGAAAGAAAATGTATACTGGCTGAGTAATGAGCATAGAAAGACAAGGAAATCAAGGTAGTACTAGCCCCGACACCATGTGTGTTGTCCCATATATAGCTTTCTATGTGAGTGCTTGTTACTTTACCAAGACTCGGTCACATTTATTATGATTTTGATGACTCCAGAACCTTGCAGTGCACACCAATACTTACATGCTACATGATCAACTGTTTCTGATCCTTTCCACACCATTTTTTTCACAATGCAATCGCATTACCAGTACTAAAGTTTATCTTTAACCCTTTAACCCTCTGAACACATGTATGATAATGGAAGATATTTGCTTTGAATATGAGCAGACTATTAAAGAGGCTGGTCGGACTTGACTGATATATCAATAGCTATATAAAGAGGGGTTTTCGAATGGAGGTACACCCTACATTGTGGTGTGTAGCGTGGGCCTTTGGTTGGAAATCTCGATGTCGGTGTCGATGTCGATCGGGTATGACCAGCCTTAAACTTGTTTTCCAAGTAGCATGTTTCCTTGTACCTTACATAATAACAATCTCAGTTGCCAGGAATTGTATCAAGGTGTTCGGTATCCACAGACTTTAAATGTTGCACTTGGTAATAAAATCTGAATCCAACTCTTCCCTCTCGCTTCCCCTTTCTTAATTTCGCTCCCTCCTTCTCTGTTTCATTTTGTTGTTGTTAGTCAACCGCTAAACCATTCTGCATGGTTTACATATTATATATATATATATATATATTATATGAATTTAACATGTTTTGCTTATGACAAGGACGTCAGTTCATGCTTTGCTTATTACGACTCCTTTTTTTCTATGTATGATTTCATGTGACCATGTTGAAAAATCGTATATTTGCGATGATGTATATGGAAAAAATGAACATCAATCAATCAATCAACTTTTGATACGAGCAAAAATTTCAAAGACGTAATCTGAACATGACTTATAATTATGTGATATACAGTAGGATTTTGAAATATATTATAAGACCACATCATAATTGTCTTTACTTGTCGATACAGACAATTGCATTATTTAACTTATAATCCTGACACAAACATTTGATAGATCTGTCCTGATATTATTGTTGGTGAGTACTGTGTTCTCTTTAAAAGGGAAAGTGAATTCAGTGTTTTCAGAGATTCACCACACTCGAGAATTGTCTCTTTGTCTTCAACTGATATCACACAAGCAGATTATGCACTGCTATTTTTACAAATTGCTAGAATTAGACATGACTACTGCAAATTTGAAACACTTATAATGAATCCTGAACCATTATGCAAGCAATTGAGAGAAGAAAAAAAAATCAAACACGACATATCACTGCACAAACTGTATTAGAGTGCTAATTTTACGAAGTAATATTTGAAACACAAACTACAATCATGTTTGTTGAATTCGCAGCAGATGGCGCTCTCTCATGTTTCCTATTTTGAGGCACTGAGTTCCAGAGTATGCTGCAAATTTTCTCGTTACTATTTTGGGCTTTGTTTCTATATTTGTGTGAGCAAAGATAAATTTTCCATCAGTAGGCCTGTATTTTATGTTGTTTTATGATCCCGTTATACTACTGGTGGTCCTGTAATAAAATGAGAATTTGTTTTAATTTCTAAGGATTTTGTCAAATGAAATAAAAAGGAACAGACTTTCCTTAAAGGCACATTTCCTTTGAATAAATAGGAAATCAACTTTGGTGGTACCATTAAAACAAAAATAAGACATACTATTCAAGCATGAATCGAGCGCTGTCACTCATTGGTATGTTCAGGTACCCCATAAATGACTATTTCCTTCATTTAATTTTCATCATTAAAGTGGTTGAATTCTACTTTGTTCCTTTAAACTTACAAAAGAGATGAGTTCCTTGAGCAGTGCCCTGAAGTAGACTATGATTGGTGCCGATGAGTTACGTAGAGGACGAGCTGAGATGGGACCATAATTCGATAAGAGCCGTTCTGTCAGGTTCTTCTCGGCAGAGAACTTCTCTCCCGCCTGGCACACTGTCAATAGAAATGAAACGTTAGGCATATTGATGATGATTATGATGATATTTGCGGATTTCAATCAGATGATTTAAGCCAAGAAAATATTATCAGACTGGTTTATTCCTGATTTCAAGCTGTACCTCCTCTACTTTCTCCTATAGCAGTAGAATCACATATAATACTCATGGTAGGATTGGATCGTGGACAATAATTATATGTACAGTATACTACTACTACTACTACTACTACTACTACTACTACTACTTCTACTACTACTCATACTCATACTCATACTACTATACTACTACTACTGCTACTATTTATATTACTATTATTATTAATACTAGTAGTACTGCTACTACTACTAATGTTACTACTATAATTACGACTACTACTATTAGTGCTACTACTATAATTACGACTACTACTATTAGTGCTACTACTATAATTACGACTACTACTATTAGTGCTACTACTATAATTACGACTACTACTATAACTTCTAACAACTGCACTACTACTTTTATTAACAACAATAATAATCAAAGCATGAGAAGGAGGAAGAAGAAGAAGATGAAGAAGAAGGAGAAGTAAAATAATTTTGAACAGATTTTCTACTTTAATCCGGCTATCAGCAGATTATGGTAGCCGCTCCGACTTCAAAGAAGTAATTATAATTATAAAGTCTCTATACTGAGCAGGTTTTATAAAGAAAGCAGTATATTATATCTATCCCTCTCTTTGTTGCTCTCCATCGACATACTATCTCTCTCTCTTTCTCTCTCTCTCTCTCTCTCCCTCTCTCTATCTATCTATATATCTCTCCTCCTCCTCCTCTTCTTCCTTCTCCTCCCCTTCTCTCCCTCTCTCACTTTGCTCCATCTCCTCATGCTCATCTAGTACTCAAGACATGTCCTTCACATTTAATGTACACAAACCGGATTTCCTTTGTTCTTTAAAGTGCCGAAGAAAAGAAAATCACAAAGAAAATCACAAATATGGCAAATAACCTATCACTAGAAACTGATAAGCTAACAGATGGCCATCGAACAAGTTTTAGGTCAAGTACATATCGGGTGATTTATAAAAATACAAATAAAATCACATCCATAGCATTTAGGATATGCGAGAGATTCGCCAGAAAATTAACGATGTTTTAATGCCGTCACAATAGGGACTTTTAGATTTGCGTGGACTGATACGTGTGACGTCCATTCAAGGCAGTGCATTAAAAGGACGTCGATCGTAGCAATCCACGTTGTCGTTGTGCAAATCTAAAAGTCCCTATTATGAACCAATCCTGCCCAAGCAGACGACATCCCATAAAGAATAAACATAATTGCAATGCTATTACTTTTCAAATTATAGTGAGTTTAGTGTATATAAATGTGATGGAATTTTACACCATTCAAAAAAGGATATGAAACCGATTCTGAAAGCTAAATTATTTTGTTTGTAAATACACAGGATTAATGAACAATCAAACACACCACACTTTCAAATTAAAAAAACCCCGGAATGACAGCATGGACGGCATTTGTTCCCTCTTGAAACGCCGAACATGCCGCTGTGTATGCAGCTGAAAATACAACGGCGTCTTATTTTGTTTAGAGTGAGGCAATAGACAAAACATAAGAGAAAGAACTGAAGAAAAGATGACAAAACAGGCACTGAAAATGTGTGAGATGTCATGGGACATCGTCTGCTTGTGCAAATCATGTTCAACATGTGACGTCACACATCTCAGCAGCGACCGGAGAGCTTTTCAGGTGCTATGCCGGGGCTGTATTTAAGCGTTTTGCAATTGATAATAATCATTACTTCCAATGTTTCCAAGCATTGAATTTTGATAACCTTGTCCAATCAAAGTTTCACCTATGTAATAATGACAATATGTTAGTTTTTAAAATTAATGAACCTTCTCTTTAAAAAAAGGTTCCTATTTCTCCACCAACATACAAAGTGTATAATTCAATTACCAGAGCTGCATAGGCCAGCTGAAGTCTTAAATGGCCCAACATTTCGTTAAAAGATAACTTTAGCTCGTATTAATTCTGAATGGTTTATCATGCAGTAGTTGTTTGAAATGGCAAAATATCAATACACTCTGATTAATAATTTTTACTAACATTTACCAAATGGATCTAGGATTCTACTGCGGCGGAGGGGGGGGGGGGGGGCAAGTTAAAAATAATGTCTGACAAAAACACAAGAAAAGAATGACATGTAATTATTTATGTATATTTTGTTTATAAAATATTTGTTGAAATCATGTGAACGACGAGGATACTGAAGTTTGTTTGTTTGGTTGATTTTATTTCTGCGTTCAAATAGCAAATACAAGGTTATACATTTTTACATACATGTAAATATTACATACATAGCAAATCATGTCCAATAATATTATACAATGAACATAATACAAAGCATACACACAAGTATAACAGATATTTGTTTTTATTTTTCATTGAACTAAAGAGATAAATTTCAGAACGCGGGAGACCGCCATCGTGAGCGGTTAGCCTGAAAATGGATGGCGGCCTCGTGAACAAAAAAAAGGTTTAGCAACAAAATACTCCTGGTAAAATGTAGTGATCAAGTGGGTGCAGTGCAATTGCAGGTGCGGGTGCAGCAGACGGCAGGTGCGGGTGCAGCAGATGGCAGTTGAGTAAAAGGAATATTATATCATGGTTTCAGACAAAGCTATTATACTAAATTAGAGCGGTTGGAACTTATGATTGTATTATTTTTCGTTCAAGTGTGGCTTTCAAGAAATAGAGGGTTGAACAAGATTTGATGTTGTCGGGCAAATTATGTCAGAGGACCGCTCTGATAATTGTGTCATGACATTATCGACCTTTTAGTCTGTAAAACTATTTTTCGGAGAGAAGCAGGCTGTATCTATCCACATTGTCCCCGCCTATATATAGCTGAGTCCCGCTTTTTTTTTCGGTCTTCGTCGCCGATCTAGAGAGATATAGCATGCATGCAGCTTTAGAGCTAAAGTCTGAATTCATAACCATGGTGTGGTTGGACAGACATTAATGCTCATTTCTGTTTGCGGTCCAATTATTTCTATTTCTGTAGCAGAAATTGTATTATTTTATATCAAAACGTGACTTTTTATCTCCAAAAGCCGCAGTTTTAAATAGAAAAAGTGTAGCTGGCAGATCATGACCTTAAAAAGCAGAATACAAAATTGTATCTGTTGCTATTGATCATTTGCGTGAATTACATGTCTGCTAGGTCAACAGCAACATAGAAAATGTGTATTCAGCACATGAGTGATGGCGCCCCCCCCCCCCCACACACACACATCTTCTTTAGAGCAACAAATAATAAATCGATTTAACTTTCAGTGGGGCTGTGTTCGCGTGCTCCGCTCCTCACACATTCGATTAATTTATGGATAGGCCATTAACGAGGAGATGAGCGAGGAGAGAAAAACCAAAGAAGACAAAAATGGCCATCAGCTATGTGCCTCTCTGAAGCAACATCGGAGATTTGAAAAATCAACTTCATTTCATTATTTTTTTTCTATCAAAAGAAATGCAGCATTTGTTGATGCTAGTCGTGTTATAAGCCGATATATCAAGGTTGAACTCACTGGATAATCAAATTCAAAGAACCGCTAGGTCTACAACGCTAAACGCCGCGGTATATGCGGAGGAACACGCCATTGTTCATGAGCACGTTCGATATTTCATGTTACGTCGCAAAAATATACATACTTATTGATTAATACAGTAAATAACAGTTACTGGAAATGTATGATAATTGGCAATGTCAGTTGCCCTTTCTATATTTGAAAATGTTTTTCCTCACCGCTGCGCGTCCTTTGCTTCTTTATGAGGTTGGTTTATCCAAGATGGATTTTGAGATGCATGAGCGTACAAGCAGAACTGTCTAAAATCACTCAAGAGTTGTCGAATTCGCAAATGATGTTTATTTATTTTAAAATATTTAACAACAAATGTCTTTTGACTTTGGAATTAATAAATTTCTGTCATAACCGTAACATTCAATCAGAAATGTATAACGCCAGTATATAGATTGTCTGGCCAGGTCAACACTACACGATCAGATTTTGGAAGAAATCACAAGAGCGTTCACACTAAGAAATACGGATACAATTCTGATACAATAGCAGCACTCTTTACGCGTATGTGGATGCAACTCTGCACCGCAATTGCATCCTTAATTCTTAGTGGCGTTTGATGTGAACATTCAAACTCGAGGATCTGAAAAGTCACGTGACCAATGAATTCTAAATTTCGAGAGATTTCAAGCTTCCTTGGAGGAGGAATAGCTAAATCGGCTCAGAATCGTAGTGACGTCACACCTGTAGTGTGATTGTCTACGACTTGAAGCCAATTCGGCTTTTATTCTGACGAGAAAGCTTATACATGCTTAAATGATATACCCATTGGAGTTTTACGTCATCGTGGCTCAAAGTGTTTTGATATCAATGTCCATCTTAAAAATTCCCAGTAGATCAAATACTGTAAGTCTGACCTCATATGTTTTGTTGTACTTCCTACATCAATGGTATTGAGAAAACTCTTAGAAAATATCACCAGCAGTAAAAAATTTTTTTTTTTAAATAGTTCAATACTTTGTTGGATATTTTTCCACCACGCTCATATATGCCAGAGATTTAGTCATTATCATTGCACCTCTAAAAATCGTACTTTCATACTACAAAAGTTTCTTTTCTATCTTAACGAATCGTCGTTGTTTGTTTGTTTTATTCTAATACGGTGAAGAACAAAAAAACCTGGTTTCAGCCATAGGGCTGTTTTTCAGCAAGCCCATATTCAAAAGAAGACAACATCACAAAAAATAACATCAATAATGCTAACAAATCATTTACAAAGAATGAATACGCATTAAAATAAAATGAATACAAGTTTACAATTTGTTTTAATCTGCCTTTAATTATTTAACGATATGTAATTGGGACATCTCCTTTTCTCACTGTCTTTTTGCCATTAAATTTCACCTGTCAACACAAAATAGCATCATATGCATTTTTTTGGTTTA